TGGCAACGAGTTCCACGACTGAAACTTAAAACAACCTTTGAAAGGATCGTGGCTATCCCTCCCCATGAAGGGCTTTACCTTTTTACGTCCTGAGCGTCCAAAAGGTTCCAGAAAGCGGTCGGCGATGTACGTCAGCCTACCGTGCAACGCGCTAGCTTGATTATAAATCACATTATTCTCCCTATGATCTCACTCGAAAACAATGTTCTTCATGTTCCTCCATCTGCAACCTTTTTTTTTCCCTCCCCCCCTTTTTCCACCTTGGTTTTATTGACCCATTTGACTTCATCCTCTCACCGATATAGCCTTGCGATAAATAAACGAGAAGGCCCGCATATCCTAATTGTGTGGTTATTAGTGTAAAAGAGGAATACAAACGTGCGTAAGTCAAGATCGACAATACCTCTGAAACGCCAGAAGTGTAAAGTGCAAGTATTTAATTGTATTTTAAGCACGTCTGCAGTTAAGGCTATTAAAAAAAAAATCTTGTAGATTTTCGCATTTGGCGCATCTTCCACAATAAATTGTTTAAAAAAATTTTTTTTGCCAATCGTTGTGCTCCACTGCGGTGGTCCCGCTGCAGTCCCAGCAATTAGCGTCGGTGCCTTTTGCGTGCTTAATTATTCCTCTGAATGTTTAGATTTCAGCTATTTGGGTCGATCGAGCAGAGTTGCGCGAGTGCAACCTTGAATTATGGAGTGTTTGGATGAGAGACAGCTGAGGCAAGACAGAAGAAAGAGATTAAACATGTGTTGCGAGCGCTCGCCTCCTGCCAAGGATTAGTTAGCCTGTCCTTCCTCATATGGGCAAACCAACCGCGGCTGTCCCCAAATTCCCCGACTGACGTCTTTTTGAAAAGATAAAAAGTTTCTCTCTCTTTCCTCAAATACATTTGCTATCGTCACCAAGAGCGGAGGGACTATTTCTAGTTTGCCGCGACTGATTTTCTTTTAATAAGACCCGAGCGCGATCCAGCACTAATTCCTTAACCTGTAAACATTCCAGAATGGAGCAAGAGTGCCCGGGAAAGAAAGAAAAAAAAAAAGGAAAAGGGGGGAGGGGAGGAGGAGCTTCTTATAAGCATCGGATGACTTCAGCAGAAGGAAAACATCAAAAGCTCAGTGACGAATTCTCAACTTTTTAAAGACTTCACTCCGGAGCGTCTTGCCTCACGATGCATTTTGTGTTTTCAGAGCGATTGTCTTCCTTCGCCCCTAATGTGCGGGTGCGCGCGCATGTCGTCTTTCTCTCTTATTGTGTGCGCGCGCGCGTGTGTGTTGCTGGAGTTGGGAGGGCTCAGCTGATGTCATCGAGTGCAGCGAGCCGATCCTGAAAGAAGAGGCCCTTTGTTGGCAGCCGTAAGCGCTAAGTCGTCCGTGTGCCTCGGCTCCGCACTTGCGCAGGGGGTAGCGGCGGGGGGGGGGGGGGGGGGGGGGGGGG